AATAAAAAACATGTTTCCCACAAAACCCCTAAAGATGAAAAGTATCAGTTTTCTAATCTGCAATTTCAATCGTTCAAACTTACCTATCAGTCGTTTAATAAATAGATACAATACAAGTAAACTTTTCTCAAAGTAGTTCAAGAGCTCTAAACTAGTAGTGACACACCAACTGTGTAAGTTTGTCCGCTGCAGCCGTCTCCAATGTTCACTGAAATATTCAAATGAGCTGTAACAATACTGGGGACTTTTGCTTCTGCTTCGTACACTTGTTGGTCCAGACTTTCAAATATTTAGAACTAGTTTCACATCTTTAGTAATGTACTCAAGAAAAACATCTGGTTTAACTTACTTTGATATTTTTGTGGCCATTACTGAGGTTTTGATACGTATTAAACAAGATTATACTCTCATCTGTCGAAATTCCTATGCGTTTATCGTCAAGTAATTTGAATTGATGCTTTTATTCTAAATGTAATCGATATTGTTAGGCAGTTCGCGTCACAAAAGGAACAATAAAAAAAACACCCTGTAGGTAGCGCAGGCGCCAACTACCAGGTAGCCGGATGACCCAGTTAAGGTCGCAGGGAGCCGCAGGATGCAGGTCGCTTCCTAACGGCCTGTCTGGAAGTCATTGGGGAGGTCTATATCCAGTAGTGGACGTCTTGTAGTTGATATGATGATGATGATGATAATAATATTATTCATCCCAAAATAATTTGCAGAAGTAGGAACAGGGTGGTTCCTAGTCAGTAAAGCTTGACACTTCCTTTCGCCTCACCCAACGCAGAATTTTCTTTAGACAATGCCTCCTCTCCAAGATAGCGCACATCGGTAATTAAAAACGAATTATTTATATCTTTAGAAAATATAGGTAACTGATAACAATATCTTTAGATAAAACTACATACAATAATCGACTAACTAATATTACATGATTTTATTGGTCACTAGTTGTTTTCGCTCTCGTTGTTTATTTTCTTATTAATAAAAACAATTTCAAACTCTTTTTGATACCTCGTCCATATCCACTGCACTGTGGGTGCTAGCTGAAATTAACGTGTGTCGGGTTCGATTCTCGCACATTACTACGCTTTGTGTCATCCATAAACTGTTATTTCGTGCTTGAGTATGATCTGTAATATTCTGTAAATTTGTATGTTAGTACAAGAACTCTCGACGTAGGAGCAAATAGTGTGAAGCGTTGTTATAAAAAGTACATAATAAACGTTAATCTTTTTATTATCTACCCAAAGAAGGCATTGTCAGACATATCATTATGAATTGCTGACTATCTTTTTTAATTTTCATATTTTACCAACACGCTCGCCACCACTGATCTCGATCTCCAGGTCTTCGTATTTCTTTCAATTTTATCTAAGCGTTGTTTCTCGAAATGTCGAAAACATGAAATATACGTACGTGCCTATTTTGTCAATCTATCTTGTACTCGGTAAAGTGCACTCGAAAACAATGAATTTAGTACCTATACACGACTACACGAATCCTTTTGGTTATTATGGTCTCGTCGTAGGTACGAGCGCCAGGTTTCTTTTGACAGGGCTTGCCGTGATAGTCTCGTCTTGACAATATTATACTTAGTTAGATACATTTTTTTTTGCAATCAACTTTTAAAATAAAACTGTGTAAAATTTCTAAGAGCACAGTTCTTAGTGAATTTAACTTAAACATTTTATAATTACGATTTTTACGGAATATGTTTGAGATCTGCCTAATAATGAATTAGTGAATGTGGTCTTAAGTTATTAGAATTTTATTTAAGTAAAATTTATTCTAAAAAAAAATAACTTAATTTATATTTAAATTTTCCGGAATTCACTATTGTAATGTGTCGAAGTTCATTAGTAATTTGATTGTAAATTGATGTTTTAGCTATGTCCTTGCATTTTTTATGTTATCTCTCTTTTCAACCTTCCTCAACTTATTTCAAAATAAAAAAATGGCTCATTTCTACCAATCCTGCCATTTTCGAGTCTTAAAATAACGAATAATTTTATAATTAAAAATTGAAACGATGTACCTAATAAATAAAAACTATAGAGCTTTACGTACCATGACTGTTTTGAATACTTAGTTTCTCGTATCTCAGTGAGTTCAGAACCTTGAGATTACTTTTTAATTTTTTCTAAAAAAACAACGTAATTGAGACCTTTCAGGTAGGCATAGTTTACCATAATTATTTTATATTTGAAACTCTTATTTAATTATTTGCTATAAAACAATGATTTTTACTGAACGTTATTCAACCACTATACTCACCATTTTATTGACACTATTTCAAGGCATTAATGATAAATTACACAAAATTCAACCTTGAAGGGTCTAAAACAATTAGTATATTTAAAATGATAGTTTTGATAAGAATCCAGTGCTTACGGAACATTGAGAATTCGTCTTCAGTAAATACTTTGTTAGTCTATTGCAAAGGTTTTTATTTCTTTGTTACAGCCCTGAAGAAATTTTCATTATGAATAGCGAAGACGAACCATTATCGTCATTAAATCAACGACTACGTCCTAGAAGGCGAACATGCAGTCCCACAATAAAAAATGTTAGGAAAAGTGAAGGCAAAGCCACTTTGGATAGACCTAAGAGGACAAACACTCCGTCTAAGGCTTTACCAAACAAAACAGATGATCTCGACAAGTCTGATACTCTTTCTTCTCCGCAATTTCTTTGTCCCTACTGCGATAGAAAATTTACGTCTAAACAAACTGTTTCCAAACATGCACGGCGTATGCACTTGTCGAGCTCAAAACAAGACTTTTTTATTACCTGTCTTTTCTGTAGCCACACTGAGGCTGAAGCTAATGACATCGTTCGTCATATGGTCGATAGTCATCCAAATCAATACTTTACTTGTTTGGATTGTCAAACGCGGTTTACATCAGCCGCAGAACTCTCGGAACATAAGTTGAATGTTTGTGAAAAACAAAAGCCTTATCGGAGCAAATTACGTCGGAAGAATTTGCCAGCCTTGAAGAAATCTGAAAAAGATACCAATGTTGATAGACAAAGTGATTTTCAAAGTGATAAAGAAGTAATTGAAACTCACGGCTTTAATGGAATTGTAATTTCGTGTGAACTTAAACCATCTCAGCATGATGAAGCGGATATTGAAGACAACATCACTACAAATTTAATTTTACCGCCCAGTAAATCTATAGGCAACAATACAGTTATTGAGAAAAATGCAGTGATTGTTTTAGACGATATACAATGGAATAAACGAATACCCCCAAATTTTTCTTTCCATAATACAGACGCGGATCAAATTCTTTCGAGATTAGGTGTTGTGCACAGATCACCAAGGACAGGCGAATCGACTAGGAAGGACTGGATTAAAACTAGTGACGATATTACCCAAAAATTCGAAAAATGTTTTGAGACCAACTTCTACTCCAAAGTCGCGAGTAACGTCGCCGAAAACTTAGCAAAATATCTTGATGGTTCGTTTAATTTTAATCCAGATTCGGAAAACACAATTAAAACAAGAAAATCTAAAAATAGTGTTGTTATCAATACTGCGGAAGGTTTTCCGATACTTTTAGCTTATGAACAATATTCTCGTAACATTTTTGAGAACTATGTACCTAGATCTATTGCACCTAAACACAAATGGAAGTGGGATAGTCCGGAAATAGACAAGGGCTTTCTTAATGCAGATCAAATCAAGCGAGATTCTCATGCCAATAAATGCATTATTACTTTGGTTTCAAGTTTAGATATATGGACCCAATTAAGTATGCGCAAGAAATATGACAAACAATTCAATATTTCACACGTAGAGAAGAAGACTGAAAAACAAAACATTATTGATAAAGAATTAAAAGAGATCCTAGAAAGCCGTGAACTACCTACGCCATCTGCACAACTTACAAAATACACAAACGTACCAAGGGCTCCAGTTAGAGAAGCCATTGAATTTCCTAGTTATCTGGGTTTAACACCAACTACACCCACTTACAATTTAGAACCTGCAGTTCTTAGTGGAGAATGGGTAAGACCCAGATGTTATGTATGTTGCGCATGCGGTGCCCAAACTCGAGATTCTAAAGCACTCTCAGCTCATATATCAGTACATCATCCTAATGCACAAGTACAGCATTATGAAATAGTCGGGGAACCATTACTAAATGCTGACATTTTAAAGCATTTGTACGTACCGCCAAGCCAGGTGTCCAATAGAACCCGCCCTTTGAGAGGTTTTAGAGACTGCACTAAATGTAAAAAATCAATAACATTAAAAGAATTACACCAGCATATGCTGGATTGTGCTGGTGACACGCCAGCAGTGCGCAGAAAATGCCGTTATCGGCCCTTTGGTGTACGCAGAAGACGACCACGTCTACCAGATAATGTTATTAGGAGGAAAATACGAAAGGATTTAAGAAACCGCCACAAACAAAAGAACCACTTGAGACCCCGGCAGAAAATACGGAGCGAAGTTGGTGATGGTAAGTATTTTTGACTGTTAAATTACTTACTTCGTCTTTTTTCAAAATGGCAAGGAGTTTTATGCTTAAATGTTCATTTTCTTTGTAAAATAAAAATAAGCCATACATATCTTGTTCATGATAGACATCAATATAATTTTCTTCCCTTTTTTATAGTTTATTGTCACAATGACTGCATATTCATATTTTATTAGGATGCCGTTTTATACATTGTGATTATTGTTAACTTGTATACTTTATTTCTAGCCGAGACAATCCGGAAAATGATTGCAGACCTGCCCGCAAAACGTCATCGTGTAATGATTAATCCCCTTAATCCTTCGTTACGACCTCGTCGAAAACTAGACAAACAAAGAAATAAACTTTTAATCAAACATCGTTCATCAGAAGATTCGATTACTCGGAAACTTAGATCTCTAAAAGAACTTAACAGTTCTTCAAGTTCTTTGAACACGTCTACGAACAAAGAAGAAGTTATCAAAAATGTTCATAAGAAAGATAATGAGGATGACAAACCCTCTAAATCTAATGAAGATGACAAGTTTCTTAGACCAATCAGACGACCTACTGATAAAAATACGCGCCATTCTGAAACTCTTAAAAGAAAAGCTGTGCTTAATCGTGCCAAACGAAAAATTCAAATGAAGAGTATGAGTTCGGGAAAGCAACCAGTGAACTCAAGTAAAAAGTGTATGAACTCTAGCAAGCAATCCTTAAGTTCAGGGAAACAGGCTACGGCCTTCAATAATCAGTCGACGGGCTCTGGTAATACGACTACAAGGTCTGGTAATCAATCTACCAACTCAAGTAAACAGTCTGCGGGCTCGAGTAATGCACCAACGAGCTCAGGTAGCCAGTCCAATACTTCTGAAAATCAAAATCAACAAACTGATGGTGACTCAAATGGTGATGGAAATGATTCGTCAAGTGACGACTTTCTCAAAAATAATACACCTAAAAAATTTGATTTGAATAATAGCCAGTTTAGTTCCAGACAGAATTCTGGGCGTGGTGGTAATTACAACCGGGGAAATAATAATAACCGGGGTAATCATAATAGAGAAAATCATAATCGATCTAACAATCATCGGGGAAACAACAACCGAGGAAACTATGAACGAGGAAATAATAGTCGAGAAAACTATAATCGTGGTAATGATAACCAAGGAAATGATAATCAAAGAAATCATCATCGCGGAAGTAGTCGCGGTGGCAAAGAAAAGAACTCTGAAGAAGACGATGGAGACCCCTCAACAGATAATGATCCGAACGATCTAAATTATTCAATCGCATCTTTAACAGCAGATGGTGAAAGAGGGGGGACGTCCCTTCAAACCTACCAAGGACTTTTTCGTCCTGACGATGATAATGACGAGGTCCAAGACTTGTCTATGAGTCAAGTCGATGAACCTGAAACATATGAAAAGGCTGCCTTCTCGTGTGGCAAATTAGCCCTGGAGAAATCCAGGGGTAATAAAACACGAAAAGGCCTTAATGCCTGTATCGCGATGTTAAAGAACAAACTTGAAGACCCTAATATAAATGTTGACTCTATTGATAATGACGAACCAGTTGCCGGACCATCCGGTTATTCTGTAACCAACCGGCTAACTCATTTACCGGACATAGACACACGTACGCAACCAGTTGCTCAAATAGCAACTAGACGTGAGCTTCCAAATGTGCATCCATTAATTCTGCCACTTGCTCAAAACCATCATACAACAGAATTTTTGTCAAATAGTTTACATGCACAATCAATATCTCATCTACCTACACGTACGTCGACTCAACCAACACTACATTCAGCTGATTATCTAGCTCTAAATTCAGCTGAAGCTATTGCAGCAACGCACGCTGCACTTGCCACCACACATACGGCCTCACATGCGGCGGTATCACATTCTGCCGCGCATTTAGTAGCTCCTCCAACTGCGCTTGCTATGCCTCATCCTGTGGTTCATCCATCGGCTTATCCTGCAGTGCAACTAGCTACTCATGCAGCAGTGCATCATGCGAACCAGCTGGGTGTGCCGTTTAGAAGTGATAACTTTATTGATCCAAACCCTCGATTCTTTTTGCAACCCACATTTGATCGCAAAATTGACCCGAATCCGGCGGAAGTGTTCTCTCGCTCTGTGATTCCACTAGACAGAATGGATTTCCATTACCAAAGTAATCTACCGCAGCACATATCTATTGAACAAGTAGCACATGGTTTAGCTTTGTGTAAGGAAACGCTTGCGGCTTCCGCCAAAGATAGCAGAGGTAGTTACAGAGGAAGACAAAAGAAATCTTCAGTTGGCAGCGGACAACCTAAGAAAACACCTGTAAAAAGAAAATCAACACGTTTGAGATCAAATGCTCCACCTAATATGCAACAGAATTTGTTTGGTTTGCCCTCGCAGATTGAAGTCATCCCTCAAACCTCTATCGGAGTACCACACCAAAATCCTCCTCATTTACCACTACAATTTTCTGATGAGTATTCGAATAAAAGCCCAGAAAGTGATAAGCAAAAGAAACGGAAGCCAAGTAACAACCAAAATGAACCACATCTAACAAAACCAACAAATTACTTTAAAGATTCAAAATCTCCTCATAGAGCTGAATATCATCATACTTATGACATGTCTGGCGGTCGCCTTATTGAGAACAAGTCTTACCAACACGCCGTAGTTAATGAACAAAATTCAATAACTGAACAACGCACGTTATCGGAGCATAGAGCAGCGGCTGACATGAGATTACACGAGGAACAGAGGACAGATCAGCGATCATTTCAAGATCAGAGAACTTTATCTGATTATAGATCGCACAATGAACATAGATCGCAACCAACAGATCGTATATCGTTACCAGATCCAATTACATTAGCAGAGCAGCTATCGTTGTTTGAACAAAGACCTTTCCGGGATCCGAGATCATATGTGGAACAGACGTTACCAGAACGGAGGACATTTTCTGGAAATTTTACTGAACATAGGCCGTATTCAGATTTGAGGTCACATGTTGACCACAATATTTACCAAGATCATTCGTCTCATTCTGATCCAAGGACATATTCTGAACAATTAGCTTTCTCGGAACAAATGTCACAATATAACAATTTGAGATCACTAGCCGATCCGAGACAGCATGTAGACCCTAGGCCGCTTTCAGAACAGATGACGTATGCGGATCAAAGATATCCAGATCAAAGGTTATATCCTGGGCAGAGAACATACCCTGACCCAATTTTATGTCCAGATCTTAGAACCTTTTCAGAACACAGGCCTCCACCTGATCAAAGACTTTACTCGGAACAACTGACGTATGCTGATCGCAGATTGTTAACAGAACAAAATATAGACCAGCACCCAACAAATGAACAAATGTTGCCTCCAGAGCAAAGACCAGGTAAGAGAAGATCTTCAAAAGAAAAGAAAAATGTTTCTGATCGGAGAGTATCAAGTGAACTTTGGCCTGCTTATGAACTCAGATCGTCAAATGACAATTTATCAATGCAAGAACATATCACAAGTGATTTAAGGTTATTGAATGACCAATCTGTGTCTAGAGCACAGGCGATAGATCGCCGTATATCTGCAGAACATCTACTCTCTGTTGAACGCCGTGTCTCCGATGATAGACTTTCTACAGAACGTGCCCTTTCCACTGAGCGAAGAGTTTCATTTGACCGTGGACCTTCTTGTGAAAGGAGACCTTCGTTTGAAAGAGGATCACCTCCGGAACAAAGACTCTTATTTGAACGTAGACCTTCTTTTGAGCGAAGATCTTCATTCGAGCGCAGACCATCATTTGAACGCGGCCCGTCATTTGAACGCGGCCCATCATTTGAACGCGGACCCTCATTTGAGCGCGGGCCATCATTTGAGCGCGGGCCATCATTTGAGCGCAGGCCATCATTTGAGCGCGGGCCATCATTTGAGCGCGGGCCGTCATTTGAGCGCGGCCCGTCATTTGAGCGCGGCCCGTCATTTGAGCGCGGCCCTTCATTTGAACGCGGGCCGTCATTTGAGCGCGGCCCTTCATTTGAACGCGGACCGTCATTTGAGCGCGGCCCGTCATATGAGCGCGGCCCTTCATTTGAACGTGGCCCTTCCTTTGAACGTGGATCTTCGTTTGAACGAATGCCGCCTCGTGAACAAAGACCATCTTTTGAACAAACGCCTTCTCATGAGCAACACCATTCAACTGAACGTAGAATTTCTAACGACCGAAGGCTATCTAATGAAAAGTACACAAATGAAACTATTTTCTCGACAGAAATGACAAGGTCGAGTGGGCATAGGAGCTCTAGTAGTGAAATATTTACTAAAGAAAATGCATCTTCAAGCGAACAAAATCATAATCAATGGTCATCTAGGAATCGTGATGTAATATCGGAACAAATTGTAGAAAATGAACATACGAATCACTTAGTAGAGCGATCGATCCACGATCAAAGATTAAACGAAAGAAGAATTTCTGAACATAGATCATCAATGGAACAAAAACTAATCACAGAACAGGAACAAATGGTTCGAAATACCTCGTTACGTGAGTACAGCGAAACCAGTTCACGTCCTGAAGCCTATCAAGAAGCGCACTATTCCAACAATGATGTACATTCTGATAGTGATAAATCTCAAAAAGTTCCAGAAGAAACAAACACTCCACCTGCCCAGCCTTTGGATCTATCTGGAAAAGCAGTACCAACAGAACGATCTTCAGCTTTGGGAAATACGTTTAAAACAGACTCTTTAAAGTTACCAAAAAAGATATCAGATGTCCCGATTGATGAAGATGTCATAGTAGACTTGCGCGTTAACGCTTCTGACCAATCAGAATCCGAAACCGAAACACCTGCAGAAGATGCTGCTACTGATTTGAGTGTTCCCAAGGATTTATCGCTTAAAGGAATGTCCAAGCAAATATCAAATGACAAAAAGAAAAAATTTGTTTATGGCATTCAAAGTTTGTCAAACAGAGATGCTATAACCAGGAAATCTACAGATACTGTAAAAGCCATTGAAGCTGTTACAGATTTTCCTACAGACTTGTCAACTAAAAATTCAACTTCTGAAATTCTCGAAGTGCCAGAAATTAAAGATTCTTCACATTCGGTAGATTCAACAGCCGAAGATGAAAGTATTGTTGATGTAATAAGCACTGAAGACACTAAATCTCCGTACAGCAGCTTGATTGACATAAAAACGAATTTAACGCTTGCCGCAGAGAAGAGTTATAATGAACAATGTACAGTGACTACTATTGAAAATGGGATTTCGCAAATAGCCAATCAAGTAGATATGAGTGACTCTAGACGTATTATAGTTTCAACTCATTCGGAATCCCAACCTGTTCACTCTTTGAGTAGTACGCACCTTGGTAGAGAAGTAATACCATCGACTCAAGAAGGCTCCACGGACAATGCTGTGCATGATTCTGTTACAACAATATCCGTTTATACGGTTCCGAATCCAGTTATGACAACATCGGTGAAAAAACATGACAGTTCAACTACGATGAATGATACTCTTAATGCTGTTGATTTTACTGAAGGAAATACCATACCACCTTACTCTTCAGCTAATTCTAATAGTGAATTCCCCGTGCATTATGGGGCTATGACAGTTGATAGTTTAATAACAGGATCAGTAGCTACAAGCAGCCTCTCACAATCATCGGCTCCAACAGAAACTACATTCGAATCTAGAATTGATAAAAATAGTAGCATTGATAAAAATAGTAGCATTGATAAAAATAGTAACATTGATTCAAATCAGAAATTTGATACTAGTAAAGTGGTTATCGAATCTCAAGATCCCGAAATGGCTAAGAAAATAGCAATGTTGCCTAAAGAATTGGTAGACATTTTAGGAACTATGCCTGCTGATCACAGGGACCAGCTCTTAAACGTACTTCCACAATATGTTTCTCCTTCGACGGTAACAATAAGACATAATTGCGGAAATATTGCTTCAAATGTTGTGCAAACCAATGTTCAACAATCTTCGTCCAACCCAGGACCTGATGAAATGGCTGAAGATATGAATACATTTATTCCGGACTACCATTTGCCGACAAGCATGCATCATTGTGCCTCTCAATTCATGAGAGCGCTTAACATCGAAAAAAGTCATTCAATGACTTATCTACAACCACCTCCACCACCGCCACTGCCGCCACCACCGCCGCCGCCACCGCCGCTGCCCATACCGCAGCCACCACCTCCCCCACCGGCGGCACAACAGCCATTTCAAATACTGTCTCCCCCACTACCTCCACTGCCACCACCGTCAATTGAAATTAAATCGCCGTCTTCACCGCCGTCTATGTGTGTTGGATTGCAACCGGTACAAGTTGCGTCAACAGCTGAATTCGTACAGGAAAGATTTATTCCACCTTTACCACCGAATCCACCACCGCCGTTGTTCCCACCTTTACCAGCAGTCGTTAAGTCGGATGTTGAAGATCCAGAAGAAGATATGAAACCTCCTATTGGGACGCTAAACGTTAAACAAGAGGAAAATGTTGACGATAATAGTGATAACACGCTGTCACTTAGATCGGTAGTTCAAACAGAAAACGTTTCTGTCGAAAATGCGGAGAAGAGAAATAAAATAGGAGATTTGAACGAAGACACAAACTCACCCTTAAATGAAGAGAGGCGGAAATTGACAGCAAACTTACCTAAACCAGCGATAATAACAACACAAGTAATAACAAACTATGTTACTGTAATGACAACAGCAAAACCTAAAACCGTCAGTGATAAAACAGCTAGCTTAAGAGCTGTGCGTATTAAAACTCCATCAGAAAGGAAAAAATCATCTAGCAGCGGAAGTCAAGCTTCTTTACTGGTTAAATCAACAAATATACAAGAAATAGTTACAATTAGAGAGCCACCCCAAGAAATAGCTACAGTTAGAGACTCACCCCAAGAAATGGAACAGCAACCAGTGGGAAATAAATATATTAAATCAAGATTAGTTAATGTTGCTCAAGTTGAAGATGAGAGACATAATATACTTTTGGAATGTAATGCATCGCCAACTGTTCAACATGGCGAACAATGTAGCACTCGACAGAGGAAGGCATGTAGATCAGCTGCCCCCAAACATTCCTCAGCCGAGTTACCTGTAGAAATAAAACCGGTAACGGAAAATTCTACTAATAATGAATTAGGGAAACAACATACCCATACCACTACGAGTACAAGAAAGAACGTATCTTCACTTCCACAACAAGATGACGATGTTCGCCCACAATCTTATTCTTCGGAAAAAACATTTAACCTACAATTGCCAGATGAAGCTCAGTTACCATCAAATAATCTAGATAAAACCAGTCCTGCTGAAGATGAGCACACATCGGTTGATAAGCCAGTAACTGATGTTGGTCATAATGCAACAATAGTTAAAAGTGCCACCATTGTTGATGATGAAGATTCAGACGATGATGTTTCTCTTGCAGTAATTGTTAAAAATCGCGATCAAATGAAACATACATTGCAAAAATTAGAAAACGAACGTTCAATCACAAATGAAAATAAGGATGTGGATAAATTAAAAGGAAGCACAAATGATCTTTGCTACTACACAACAAACAGCTCAAGCACAGATGTAATTGCTACAAAGCATCACAAATCACACAGTGCGGACAGTGTGAAGGAAATACTAAACAGTAATGCGCCTAATTCTGCTGAACGAAATGAAACAATTGAAATAGACCAACAGCGTACAGAAGCGAGTGTTCCACCAAATTTCGGAAATGTACAGTTTACCGAACAAAGCCACAACAGTTTTGAAAATACAAAACGTGAAGCAAAGGAATCTCAACTTTTAGAAAATTCTCCAATTATTCGTGGTAAATCTGTGAATGAAGCGAAGACCGATACTCATTTAAAAATAAATGAGGCAAATAAAAGTGCTATACACGAAAGTAAAGCACTTAAACACTTGGAAACTAATGATATCGTCAAATCAAATTCAAACGACACTCGTGTTGGAAAAAGCAAACAAAAGAAAAAACACAAACGTAAATCGTCGATCATCCCTGTAAAAGACGACATAAATAACCAGACTGCTATCATAAAAGATGACAACTCTTCGAACATGTTAAATAATAATGCAGATGTCCCAGATTTAGATAAAGTACATGATTCTCAAGATTCAAGCAAAAAGGTTTTAAATAGCAATAACGAGACTGCTGCTATTGTGAATTTGACATCTAACCTGGATAAAATATGTGGCAACAATAAAGAAGACATTTCTGTAAAAACTAATAAGGAAGTTGAAATTGATGAACTTAATGATATGCAATCGCATTCTGAATTAGATGAAAATAATTCAAAAGCTCTTAGACGCAGCAAACGTGGAAAATCTGTAGTTGTTGAAGGCATGGTAATTGGATCGGAGAATTCGGATGAAACAGAATCTGTCATGGAACAAAAGACACCACTTACAAAGAAACAACTTATTTTTTCTAAATTGTTACTAGATGAAGAAATTCAAACCGAGCCAAAAGCACACTCGACGCCGGAAAAAGATGTAAATAGTATTGAGAAAGATAACAATATCCAAACAAATAATATTTCATTAATTTTGGAAACAAACCCCCCTATAGGTGACAATTTAGATAACACTAAAGCAAGTGGTTTAGAAAAATGCAAAGAAACAAAAAGTAAGAAAACAAAGAAATTAAAAAAGCTTTGTAAGAAAAATCGATCGCTCAAAATTTCTGGAAAACGTAAGAAAAGGCATTCCCAAAAGCTCAAGAAAATGTCTAAACTAAGAATACGCCCGGAAACTCCTATTATACACTACGAATATCCGCGAAACACGCATCTTACAGCAGAAGAACAGTTTGCTGAAACTGAGAATCAAATTTTACTTATTCAACAAGCTCGCGATGAATATGAAAAAGCTAATGCTTGCGCTGTTTTCTCGGGACCCACCACAAGCAAGGACTCATTAAATACTTCTGGAGAAAAAAGAAAATTAGATGGAAAGGCTAGTGAAGATTTCAAACAAAATTCAAAAATGAAAAAACTTAAATTTGTTGAAAGTAATGCACAAGATAATGCAAATAATACATCGATACAGTCAAGAAAACGCACTACATGCTACATGCAAGCTGCTGCAAGAAGGACTCGATCTAAATCTGTCGTTGTGAAATCTTCTACTGAATTTTACGACCCCTACGATATTGACCTAGATGATATGATTGAACAACCGGAATTGTTTAAAAGTGAAACAAGTGAAAAAGAAAGTTCAGAAAATCAGAAAAATATTAAAAGATATAAAGGGAAACAATTAGTATCTAGTAAAAGTCAAAACTGTTTTAAAAGATCGAAACCTCAAAATGATAATAATGAAAATCAATCAACTTCCGCACCTAAAGATGAAGTAGTTGATTCAGACGACTCGTCAAAAAGCGATATTCCACTAAATAAATACATAGAAGAAAAAGAAAAGAAAGCACAACAGTCTGGCAACATGTGCTCCAGACGAAATTCCAATTTAGGAAAAAGTGGAAAACGGAGTGCAACTTGCACTAGACTCGATGACGATCGCAAGAGGTCTAGGCGAACTTATTCTTCTTCCCATGATTTAGAAAAATCAGGTACATCAAATGACGTCGACGAACTTCGATCTGAACAGTTCATGGAAAGTTTTGGTTTCTTTTCACAAAGAAAACCGCGCAAATCTAATTTATTGGCGTCTAAGAAAATATCCGAAACTTTTCATATCATTGGTAATGAAAGTGATGATTCATGTCTTAGTCCTAAGAAAAGACCTAGCAGACGAACGAATGAAAATAAAAGATTCAGAGATACCAGGGCAAAGAAACCTGTTACAATTAGAAGAACGATAAAGAAAGTACCGAAAGTGAGAAGATCTTTATTCTTACCGCCCATACCATGCTTCTGTCGTCTATGTAAAAAAGAATTCAGGCGATCGGATAACTTCTTGCGACATCAAATGAATGTCCTTCATGTGGCTAAGTTGGCTGAAATTGAATTAAACATGAGAACCAATGCTATATATGAAAAGCCAAATTATCTTATTGCATATAAACGTCAATTAGATCGACTGAAGTTAAGGACAAAAAAATATGCTAATAGGAAAAATCATCCAAAATTAATAATGCCTACATTAGACAAGATTTTAGTAAAAGTAAATAAGATAATCAAAGAACAAAAATTAGCTCAAAGAGGACTTAGTATGGACGAAGCACTTTTTATTGATTGTTGTCAATTACTTCAGTCTAATAAATCCGAAATCAAACCTACGGCGCCACCGCCAGTTTCAGAACCAGTGGCCAATAATTTGTCTGAACCGATTGTCAAAGGGTTTGATCTCTTAGAAAAACCGCTTAAAGGTGACGGTGATGTGGATTCAATTACAGCTAAAAACATATTAGACAGCGACGAAGTGAAAAACTTGGAGAAAGACTTAATTTCTGGTCTTAAAGAAGCTGCAAATGCCAATTCTAAGAAATCGAAAGTTATGTTACAACGAAGTGTTAGTGATGTGGGATTAGATCAGGGTGATAATGGCCAGATAAGTTACTGTAGCGCTGAAGTCGCTGGACCTAGTCGTGCGCAACTTATTCTAAATAATGCTATGACCTGTCCTGAATCCAACCCTAATAATGAAACTAAACATGATAATGAAAGTTCTACTCTCATGGTTAATGTTAAAGATCTAAAAGTTCAGCCTAATATTGAAAATCTTCCTACTAATCAGAATGATGAAAAATTCGGCTCTGAATTCAATTTTAATGATAACAAAACTTGTCTTGATTCTAAACGTATTGATTCTAAAACTGAAACATCTGGACTTCATGATGAAAAACGTAATTCCGAAGCAAATCCCAATGTTGAAGAGATTTATTCAGAACCTGTTCCTAATGATGAAATATCTTGTCCGGAAGTTAATAAAGAAAAAAATCCTGAAGCTAAAATTAATGAAGAGCAACTTAGGCCTGAAGCTAATATGAATCTTGAAAATACTTGTCCAGAACCTAAAGTTAATACTGAAAAATCTTGTTCAGAACCCGTTCCCACTAAAACGAAAAAGCATCCTGAAGTTAAAGAAAAAATGTATCCCGATATCATTGATCCTATTGACATGTTTGAAGACAAGTTTGACAAGATAAAAAGAAAATGTAGATCTCAGGCGGCGGCAGCAAAGCAAACACAAGCTGCTGCTATTGAAACCAATAACAGGTATGTTTTAATGTTTAACGTTTATTTTGTAAGCATCCCTTGTATTATTTACTAACAATGTGTTTTTTTTTAGTTTCAAGTCCCGAAAGAAGTCTGAAAAGAAGAAAACACGCAGAAATTCTAAAAAAGGTCACCAGGGCTCTCAAGTTCTAACAAAAGGTGCTCTAAAAGGTTTCGATGGAATTAAAGTTTCTATACCAACTTCAGACATCAATATCTCTGGAATTGTTCCTACTCTTACGCCATCACCAAAGAAGAAAAAGAAAGGTAGTTCAAAGAACAGAAAAGAAAAGACGTCAGATGCGAAAATGGAAAGATACGGAGATGGTTCTACTTCACAGAAGGAAGTTGACGTTTATGAATTTTTGGATAATGAAGATGCAGTTTTTGAGTTCAGACCCTCAACTTTAATGGAAAGATTTAAAAATATAACCTACAATAACGATGGTCCTAGTACATCCAAATTGAACTCAGGAGTAGATGCCGATAATTCTGGTGATAGCGCTTCAGATGGAGACGATTTCGTATACATGTCTGATGATTACGTGTGTAGTGACGATGAAACTGAAAATAGTTTGATGTCTTGTGAGATGAACAGTGGCAAAGTGGGCAGTGATACAAAGAAAATTTCATCTCCGTTAAAAAGAAAGGATGCCTTAGAGAAAAATGCAGTCATGGGGAAGATATTCAAACATAACGCAGTGCGGAGTGACAAAAAGAAAATTAAGGAGTCTGTAAAACCCAAGGCTAATTTAGATCAATTATTTGACAGTTTACTTGAGGATAAACCAAAAACTTCAGACCTGTGTGATGAAACACCAACTACCAAAGATGAAGATTTTCTAACACCAAAACAGCATGATCTATCTTATAAAAATGATAAACACAACCGAGGTTCTTCAAACAGAGATGAATTTTCTTTAACTAGGAAACTAAAGAGTCCATCACCCAAACATCAAACTATATTATCTCCGAAAGAATATGACAGAACTCCCCTGATAGATTATGGCCCTTCAACATCAAAAACAATTCCGACGGACTTTGGATCTGCTACATCTAAGAAAAGAGATGTGCCGAAGGACAATAAAGGTCATTCACCCAAAAAACATGAATCGAAACATGGATCTAGTAGATATAGCGAATCTCTAACTTCAAAAACTGATTTAATTACTGGAAAGCAACATGATACATTAAAAGATAGGTCATTTAAAGAAAAATCTCCGATTAACAAATTAAATGAACGTATTAGCCCAAGTTATGATTATAATGCTGATGTTTTCGAGCAAATCCAATATGATGACATGGGAGTGGCTAGACAAAGGGCGCGTCGTAAATGTACTGTGGGCAAACAAAATGTGCTGGCTGAAAGTTGGAGTTCAGAATCCGAGCCAGATGTTCTACCGCCACGTCCCAACAGCGCCGAGTCGGTTATTCTGACTTCACGTAAAAAGAAAGGGAAGAAAAAAGATCATCATTCCAATGCAAAACGTACGAATAGTCGACATATATCATTTAAAAAGCGAGATGTCGAAAACAAGGTAAACAACACTAACCGTCACGGAAGTTATTCAGGAACTAGTCGAGCATACAATGAAAGTGACGATGTAGATAGGACCACGGTGAATCCTTACGATGCGCCGACGCCATCAACATCAACAGCGCATACGCATCTCGGACCACCGACCGACCGACCGAGACCGCGTCCCCGCACCACGGCCTACTACAACTGGTCCTCGGACGGGGAAGACGAACAGGAACATCAACAGCAGCATGGCTGGATTGTTGGAGATAGCCATAAAAAGTTAGTTACAATGCTCGCACATGCGAAAGGACGGAAGCGCAACAACGACGATAAACGTCATTTCGTTGAGTAAGGTTAGTTTATTAGATTATATTAATCTTGTACATATTATTGTAAATAAACTTCTTTTTACCGATTGTCGATTTTACGGCATATGACCAGAAAAAGGTAAAAAGAAGATCGTGTAAATATTGTATATCTCTATGAAATATTTTAGTTAAATTTTGAATGAACTGGTACTTTCAGATTTATATATTCACATTCAAGTCCATAAGTAGCCAAATCTGGGAACATTTAATTGTATCATTATTCAATTAATTTGAACTGTATGGGTACCGTCGACGGGCATTTTTAGTGCATATGCGCCTAATCTAGGTCTCTTGGAGATCTTCGGACATCCTTGGATCTTTGTTTTTTTATATTGTGTTGATTTAAAGTACATAGACAGTACCAATATTTACTTTCGATATTAATTTCGCATTTGTTCACTAAGATTATAAATAGCCACTAAACTAAATATTTTCGTTATTTTCTTTTTCAATTTAAAATATTATGTAATATTCACATTTAACCTTCGGAGTCTTACTTCGGAGCATTGCTATTAATTACCAATTAATTATTTATACCGTTGGCATAATCAGAAAATAATTATTGATACTAAATAAAACTAGAAAAATATAACAGTATCAAGTGACTAAAAATGCCGCGTTTTGTCAAATATACTGTAAGAAAGTCAATATAAATTTATGCAGAGAAGTTTTGAAGCATAATAATGATTTAATGTTCCTTTCATCAATTATTAGTAATTTTAATAGATGTATTTTATTTTGGAAATTATTATATAATTGATAATGGATGGTCTAATCGACTGAATGTCTTTGTTATGTAAAAGAGTTTATGTTAGTAGTCTCCATAGAGGCTGGTAAAGCGGTCTGAGTGATTTGTGTATCTTTGAGTTGAGTAAATTAATTTGTTAACTATTTTTATACATTAGATATTTTGAGTAGTCGAATGTTTTACACAATTGTGAAATCTCATGCATTAGTTATTGTTGTATCTAGTCCAATAAGGAAAGACTAAATGCCGCGTTATCAGCCTCACTACTATGTGATTTATTTTCCAATGTACGAGAAGACTTATAATTTTGATTATCTAAGTATTCGTAACATGAATTGATTGACATTGGCTTGTATTTCGTTTAGTAATTGAATAAATGATTATATGTGTTTATTATATTAATTTCTTTTTTTTTTAATAAATATCATAGTTATTTTTATTTATTTCATTTTTATATGTATTTATACTTATATATATTTTCTTCCAGGATAAATTACCTATAATATTCTTATGCAAAGTCGTTGTTATAATATAAAGAATATCGATTGTCCTTATACACATTCATCGTAATTTTTGAATTTGTAATGCAATACTCTATTGTTTGCGGTGTGATGAAATGTTGGATGTTAAAAATCGCTGCTTCAAATTTGATTAGACACGAATAATTTGCTGTTAAACGTTATACATCGTTTGAACTTTATGAAAATTATGACAATGAGTCTCAGGACAATCACTGTTAGCCGTTGTAATTGATGTCAAATACATATTGAATAATCAGTAGTTACACATTTTTTCGCAATGTTCCAGTGTTTTCATTAACAATTGTAATTTTAATCAACCCATACAATAATCGTGCGTAGTTGAAATTATTAGTTCTTATACCGAATATTAATATACGTAGAAAAATTATGTGTCTATTTCACAATCTCCCTTCATTAATTAAAACATTTGTTTAACGTATGTTAGATTGTAGTTATATAATTATCCATTTATAATAACATAATAATCTTCTTTGAGGTTCTTTCTATCTGTGTCTAAATGAGTCTTGATAAGTAACTAGTCAGTAGGTATGTCAAATGTACCGAGATCTTAATTGCTAAAGAAGTTGAGGGAGATATGTGTAATAGTAAAGAATTCACCATTTAATATCACTGAACTTTCATGTTACTTTAGCCTAGGCTGCGTTATTAAACAATAAACATATCCCTGAAAGTATAAAAATGTATTATTTAATCACCCTAGTTTTGTTTATTTTTTTTTAGTTTGAAGTACCTGAATACAAAAACAGTTCTAACAATTACTAACTTCATAATACTACACACGCTCACAAACACATCCTACTTACCTATAATAAAATCTATATTTTTTTACCGACTTCGAAAAAAGGAGGAGGTACTATTTAAAGCAGTAAGTTTTTCAAAGTCACACTAAGATTTATTCAAGAAAACCCAGTCGAAGGGTGTAGCAAAAGACCTATCTCTGACAACAAAAACATTGGGTTCTATGAACCACAATCCATAATAGGACTTGGTTACAAAATTTGCTGAAATATCGTAAGTATCATTTGAATTTTCGGCAACAAGCACGAGGTATCCAGTGACCTGCTGCAGCTACTCAGCATCGCTGTCTTCATCACACGCCAGCTTCACAGCCAGCCGTTCCCAGTTTCTAAGTTACCTAAGTATAAAATTATGTTAGCCAAAGCGTAAGTATTATTCCTTATCAGCACCTTAGTTCAAAGCAATGTAAGTATACGACTAAGAAAACTAGGCACCTAAGTATAGGGGTCAGGCGTAGCTACCTATATTGTTAAAATAATTTTTGTCTGGCTCCTTGGTTCCATACTTATTGGATTTGCCGATGCTGATGTAGAAGGATAATCGGAAAAGGCTATAAATTCTAGTGAAGAACTAGCTAGTTATTGTCTACTAAAATAGGGGTCTACCGCACATACTATTGAGGAACACCTTTGCACAGGTGCTTTCTAGAAAAAAAAGCCTAAAAACTATACTTAGATGGTACATAACAATCATGTTTAAGGCGAATTAAACCTAGAGAGCGCCCCAGTTAGCAAGCACCTCATAAGTGCATTTAATTGATTATGGCGCCGCCGCCACTATGCTATTATTCTATGACTGCGCACGCGCGTCTCGTGGCGTCGCGGTGCTCCTCTGTAATTTGGCGCCCTAGGCAGTTACCTACCTTTGCTTTAGTGATAATACGGCTTTGATCATGTCTTCTGTGGGGTTCTCTGAAAACGTTCCCGAGGTGCCAAGCCTTGAAGTCTCTCCCTGAGCTATAAAATAGTCATAGAAGTTAGACAAGATGCTAATGTCTCCAAACGGTAGTGGTAGGTAAATTTGTACCAGTTATGTTATCAAATCCTATCTAACAAGAGATAAAAAAGTGGTCTTGAGGCACAGTACCAAATGCCTGAAAACCCTGACCTGTAACTAAGTAACTAGGTACCTAGGTACCTACGAAAAGTTAACTCGAATAGGTATGACGGCGACTCCAACGTGGGCGTTTAATAATATAAACTACTACAGTTCTGGTTATTTTCCGGTGATATGTGAATCACAACTGGGGAGAGAGGAGTCGGTGTAAAAAAGAAGGCAGTGTTGGTACTTGATAGAGGTGTAATAAGAGATTAGAGCTTATCGTGCGACCACATTTGGTGAATGTGTTGCTCGCGAGCAATTAACGAACGGACTCTGGAGTATTGTGTCTATGAACAATAGTTGTACCTACGCAGTTGGATGCATCATTAGACAAGTGAATGATGTGTCTGATCATAGATCGTAGCATTAAGGTTTTCGTTAAAAAACCTAACTACAAGTCTAATAAAGTGTTCCTATGCGTGAATAGAAGTAGGTACTTATTTACCTCATAGTCTCTAGTAGTGCACCTTTTTGTTAAAAAGAGGGGGATACCTTTGAGAGACCTTTAAAAGGTGCCTAGTTATTTGAGAAAAACTATAAGTTTCTTACCTTAGTAAAACTACCTTGCAGTTGCTGGTCACCATCAGCGCCTATAAGGGCAATATTTGTAAGAGTAGTAGGTAGTAAGTACTTGTACTAGTGTACCTAGGTAATACATTATAGCATTGTAGGACACCATCGATGTAGAAATTCTCCACAATACCACGAACGCCAACAGCCCGTACTGCCCCCTTTCGGACTTAAAACCTAGGTAGGTACTGTTGCTGCTCCTGCCCAGCATCTGTTATTTAATGTACAGTATATTATTTAGCACTTACGACAGTCGTGGGGAGAGTACTTAGTAACTAACATGGGTATGTATAGCTACTATTATATCATATCGGTGTTAACTGTACTTACTTATTTAAAAAAAAGAAGTTACAAAATATAAAATAGATTTAATAGAAAACAGAAAATATATAAAATAAACATTCGGGCTGAGGAACGTCCTGCGTAGAAGGCACTTGATTTCCAGACTAAGCTATTTAAAGGTGACGGTGGGGGTTGAAATTTAGTTTCGTAATCTAATTATTTTAGTCAATGTATTATTTCAATGAAAACACAAACAAAACGACATTTTCCGAAGATGAAACCTAGCTAGATTGATGTATCGCCCCCGAAACTTGCTATACAGAACATTTCAAAAAATCAATGCAGCTGTTGTCGAAATCGTTAATGTATTTTTTTATGGGACAAGCTCGCCACGACCTCTCAAAACCGCTGCAACTTCTGTAAGCCAGAATCTACAGTAGTATTTATACAAGAATTGCTCGTTAAAAGGTATAAGATATTATAGGAATGTTATATCAATTGCCAACTGTGAATTAGGTATTTGAATTCACCCTCCAAGTTTTAATATCAAACCTGAACGTTTTAGGGACGTCCAGCGCAACTAACTAATTATACAGAGGTACAAGTGGATAATTGAATTTTGTGGTAAAGATTGGCATGCAAGTTAGGGTGGATGTGAAAAGGTCACTGCATGGGGCCGGTATCTAGAGTTTAAAATGAAAAGGCTAGGGTTGCTCGCCCTTCGGACATTATAGATTTTTAAGTAGTCTATCAGTTGCTTTGAACGGCAGTCACGATATCGAATTACCTTTTCTATTACTTTAACATGTAAGCAATTAGATTACCTCCTGGGTCTAACTTATTGTAATTAGGTGCCTACAACATGCTATTTGTAAAAGCCATACTAGTTGGGTGGAACTAAAAATAGTTTTTAATAATACGTAGACAATTATTATATTTCGCTAAAAATATTATTTGGTTTTATGCTGAAGTCATTATCAGATGTTATTAAGAAATGACTTAAGATAAGGTTTAGTCCGCAAAGAGCGTATTCATATCTTCAATAATTGTATATTTGAAAAATACTGGTGTTACATTGGTGTTTCCAATGTAACACCAGTATTTTTCCAAGCCCCATGTAAAAAAGAAGCTGATTTTTTAAAAAATAAAACAAGAAAATGCGTATAGAGGTATAATATCATCATAATTTAATATCTTACATAATATCTATATAATATCTACTTGGCAACTTCATTTTCAGTTCGAGGTTCAGGTTGACTTAGAGGTTCAGGTTGAGTTTCGGGTTCCGGTTTAGTTTCAAGTGCCGGTTGAGTTTTATCTACAGGTACCGATTCAGTTTTCTTTACTGATTTTCTTACATAAAATGCTCTAATGGTAAGGCCGGCGCCTACCACCAGCACGAGACCACAAGCTGCGATGATGACCGGTATAAAGATGTCTACTAATCGGAGACTGTGTAGCAATCTGCCTGTCAGCTCCTCCACGAATTCATCGGGCAGGACGATGGACTGAAACAATGAAATGGAATTTAACACATTAAACGCAATGGGGGTCTCTGGTGACTGACGTTAGCCGAGGATTTACCTAACAGTTTTCTATTGGCAGTCAAAACCAAACCTAATAACAGGTTAGATTAAACCTACTTTATATTAGGAGGTAACACTTTACAACAAAAGATGAAAATATTTTCAAGATATATTATGGAATCCGTATGGTTATACATAAGTAAGTATGAATGAGTAATGTACCTAATGTATCTATGAAGACATATTGTCATGTAGTTACCGAGAGCAAAAGTGTAAGTACATAAATTATAAACGCAAAGGAAATAACCCCCGATAATGTAACGATAAAAGAAAAAAAACATTATAATAATTTCAATTCTGAAGCAAAAATGTAGCAAATTAACGAGTAGGCAGAAAGTAGCGTCTGTCTCATTACTAAGTCATATCGGTTGACTTGTAAACCATACCAACGCCAGGTGCAACTGTTTCTCATAGCTACATCTAGCTATGCAACATTTATAAGGCGCCGAAGTAAAATACTCGGTGGAATTAATTTTAACAACGGGTTTGGTATAAAATGTATGCCATTTTTTAATTATGAATGGGTTTTGCAACGTACACGAATAGCAACAAGTTGCTCGACAGTATTATGTAGGTATTGGAAAGAATTTTAAATGAACGAAGTGAGGTAAGATTTTGTTTTAACTCGTCGAGCACCGTATTTATAGACACAATTAAAGAACAATAGGTTGCGGTCACCGGTGACCGCTTGGTGTTTGACAGTTTAAGTACTTAATATAAATTTTAGATAAGAGCAAACTTTCCTTGCTTTTTAGCACTATAATTAAAGTTTCTTTGGAAGTTACGGAATGTAGGTACGTATGTACACAAAGCACCGCTAATTAGTTCGAGGCGCTACACATCGACATTACTATCATTTACACAGTGAACATGTGTGGGTAATTTCATATTAATAGATATGTATAGAAACATTCGTTCTATCACACACATCTTGGTATTACATATCATTTTTGTGTCGGTATACGTAATATTTTAGTAAATAAGTTTAAATAAAAACGAGGGTAAAGATAAAAATACTCATAACAAACTTTGAATAAATCGAAATCAAAAATAATGAACGATCGAGCAATACAATACTTATATAAATATAGTGCATTCTCATTGTATTTTTATGTTACTGAATGATATACAATATTTCGATGTTCTCATCTACGGCGCGCTTGGCGCAATGGTTATCGCCTCCAGTGGTCAAGTAAAGTGCCACCGGATCGATTCCAGCATTCACATGTTGTTTTAGTATTAATTAATCAAATATTTGAAATGTGAAATTAGAAACAATTAAATCTTTTCTTTTTTTCCTATCCTATTTTTCTAAATCTTATGTTAATTTTAATAGTAAATACTTTAGATTTATTTATACCTATAATATCCTTTATTTATATTTTAGTTCTAGTTATTTATTATTTAGAATAATTTAGAATGATTGGAAGAACTTTAAAGTTAACATGTGGTATATAATTAATTATTAGATATAAATATTGAATATAAAACCACATATTTGTATAATTAATAAATTAATTTTAATAAAAAATAGTATTGTTTTATTTACCGACTGATTTGCTTCTTTTATAGCCTGATATTTATATGACAAAAAACAAAAAAAAATAAATAAGAAAAACAACAAGGTAAAATAAAAAAAAACTTTTAGCTGGAATAGAACCCACATCATCATTGATCCTTGAAAGACGATAAAAGCGTACTCATTAACCAATCGACCACGAGCACTACGATAATTACAGTGAAAATGTCGGGTCATATCAATGATTGTAAATAGTTTTAACCTTACCCATGCATTAAATTATAAAAATACGTATACCGACACAAGAATGAAAATACCAATGTGAACGTGGTGGACGAATATTTTTATACACAGTAATATGAAATTACCCACACATGTACATTGTGTAAATGACAGTAGTGTCGATGTGAGCGTTACGAACTAATTAGCGGTGCTTTGTGTACATACAATATTAAAGTTTTAATCGCATACATTACCTACCTACAATGCAGTAGATAGTTTACATATTCAATTGCAAACACCTTAAGGTAAGCCATAACACATAATAAAAAAGAAAATAAAAAAGAAATTGAATATCAAATAAAATTAATTTTAAGTTGTGTGACTACACAAAATTGAGAATCTCCACAAACTCAGCAAGTCAGCAACTAGCTAGACTGCAATCAGAACTGCACTTGGCTGGTTCGTCTGTCTGAGCATCTAATAAAAGTTGTACAGATCTGAGGTGAGAAGCCCTAAAGAAGGTTCGCTGGTTCATTACATTCGTAGTTCTTCAACTATTAAAACGTAGACAGAATTCCTCTCAAAGTTTCTTAAATCGATCGAACTGCACTTGCTAATACTTGTAGTCGGAATCCATAGGTACCTGATCCGAAAGTAGTGACAGTTTATGGTAATAGTAGGATCAATAAAAATATATTTGTAGGAGTATTTGCTACAGGCGAACAAAATGTGAAAAGGAAAAGCTAAGTATTTTGCGTGTATACGATCGACACACCAGATTTGTACATATACCCCAGATACCTACACAACACCATGTTGTATATCGATGGTAGCTACTTAGAATCGAATCTTATCTTCAGTTTTGTTTAGCCTGCAATGCTTGAGCAAACTGTAAATGAGCATCATGGACTGACAACTACTAAATATCAAAAGTGTTAGAGTCAATCAAATCAAATCTTTGTAATAGTGTACCTAATGGTCAAGAAACTTACTTCATCTACCCATAAGATCGGGACTAAGGCAGTCCGGAAGGGTTGTGTGACAGGTACACCGTTGACAGGCCTCGAGAATATGTTGAATTGCGCCCTCTTTGCACCTCTGATCGGAGTGCCCGTGTTCTGAAAATAAATAAAAAGTTTTAATACCGATGTCAAATCATCAAATGCGGTACATTTTTGTAGGGAAAATCATGTAATGACTTCTCATGCCCTGGGTAAGGCGAGCAGGCGTAGGTATCACCCACTGACTAAAAACAACCTCATTCCAACTCCTGCTCTGATCCGAGCCGCAATATGACATTGCACTTATCTCGCAACCCCTGTAAATGTCGGTAAAACATAAATCATTGGGGTACTATAGGCTTTGGACAATTTTTAGTAAGCTTATTACAGGTGACTCATAATATACCTAACAGATGAAAATCGGGTGATTGTAGGTACAATGTACAATTTTGTATCTAAACCTTGTGTATCTAAACATGTTCTTGACACCAATGAACTTACATATAAGTGATTAAATATTGTTCTGCAACCCTACCCTTAAATCCCGGGAATACTAATGCTATTTGATTTCTAAATATGTCTTCAGGTGAAGCAATACTTTCAAATTGCGTGGAATTTATAATGCCGTTCATTTTACAGCTGTGAGTTCCCTGCCTATTTTGATCCCACAGTTTACTGCATGTATTAATTTAATGATGGTAAATTAAACAATACCTATTTTTTGCATTGTAAACAGCAGAAAAAGATAGGGTCTATTACAAATCATTAATGTCTTAACGCCATTTTTGAGTAATGAAGCCCACATACTCTTGTGAAAAATCAAAATAAGTATATTCGCTTCGCTTCAATATTCTCATAGCCGGGCGGAATTTCTATTCGACACATTTAAAAAGAGGTCAGGTTAAGGACCTACGGTTTTACGTACTTTTAAAGCACTAGAGAGGTAAAAACCGCAGAATTTCTAGGCCTTTTCAACGTACCTACATTATATTTCTAAATATAAAATAATATTACTCGGTACCTGGGTCTTTATAATTTACAAACAAATAAAATTTAAAACATTTATTTAATATAAAACTTATTTACTAACGTTAATGTAAACATAAGTAGGTATGTACTATACACGTCTATGAACACGACTCAATATTCACTTTAAAACAACAACAAACAAAAGAGAAATATAAAATGTTCTTCTATTCAATTACTACCTACCTAGTTAATTAACGTACCTGCGTCTGTTTACCGACTGAATAAAATAGCTGGTTCTGCATTACAAGGGCTTTAACTTGAGACCTAAGCTGGTCAATGCATTTATTATTCAAAAGGCCAGTCGGCAAATTATAGCTCACTGTTAAAAGAAATGTATTTACCGCCATTTGTAAGGATAGAAGTGCAGCTAAACATATTGTATGTTCCCACGTGCCTACAAGGACAATACTATTAAAGTGTAGTTTATAAAAAAGTAAAATGCAAACTCATTTTCAAACTGGAACGTTTAGTTTACTAAGCATTCATTTTTTGTGTCCAACCTATCATTACCCTTAGGCATTTTTCCCTGCAGTAATAGACTTAGGGATGCTTCCATACAATTATTTTATGACAGTTCTGTTTTCAGTACCTATACGGACGGTGGGCCTGTTCTCAAAGCCGCAATTCTAGAATCAACTGTGAATTTTAGGCTCAAAGGGATCAATAAAAAATGCCAGTTGCCACGTAGCTAATGAGGCAGCTTAGTATTCAATTTGTATATGGGTATAACGTAAGAATCAAATAACAAAGGTCCGTCCTAAAACCCAACAATTTATATACTAAGTTATATTTGCCTCACCGTATCGTATGCGGTTCAGAACTCTGAATTATTTATCATCCTTAATGGAGCCTAACTTCAGTGTCGGCTGACATCACCTTGAAAAGTGCAGGCTGTCATATTTGTTATGTTTCAGTTGAATAATGCACGCAGTAATGGGTATCGATCGCCTATGTAGCCTTCTGGGCAGTCGTTAGTGTAACAACTGCTAAATGATACATCAATATCCCATCGAACAAGGTATTATTGTGACATATATGGGGTATTATGACGTCCAGGTGCCTTCCAAGGTCCAACTGACGTTCAAGTGGATAGAAGTCACGACATATGTCTCCATGCCTTAGTAATGATGTTTAGATGTTTAACAGTCGCCGCGCTCTCGCTTATTACAGTGGGCATTGTTGTATTATTATAAATTATGTATTGCAGTATTTGCAGTTATAGTCACAGATTGCCAAGTTGCAGAAAACAAAAAAAAAGAAAATTGTTTTTTTTTTTCACAAATCACCTCTCTTTGTTTTTGGTAATAGGGTTGCCCCATGCGGCCATGCCACGTTTTTAAAGTATATACATATAATAAGAATATTATGGCATAAATCCGATCGCAGAAAATTCTATCTCAGGAAATCCTTAGCCTAAGGACCAAAAGAACTTTTTCCCCGCGCCTGCCGTGATTATGGCCCCGCAGCCTTGTAGAGCAGCCATTTCACGGCGTGTTTTACACTCGCAGCGTTTACGATTGTTTGCGGCTCCCTTTGCACCGGCGGGCGCGGCCGCTGTCCCGCAGAAGCGGCGGCTAGCACCCGACCCTAGGCGGTCTGTTGGCGGGCGATCGCAATGGGACGGCCGCGACTGGTCTAGAATTCAGCCATTTGTATGTATAACCGCCAGCCTGACTTGGCGATTGATTACCCGTCAAATTTGCGGGCGATAATCGCAATCGCGGAGGACGCGGGAGAAGATCGCGCCGTGAGTTGCACTCCTAAGAACGAACAATAGTTTGACATTCAGTCTTTAATCAACTTAAACTGTCAAACACCAAGCGGTCACCGGTGACCGCGACCTATTGTTCTATAATTGTGTCTATAATGACGGTACTCAACGAGTTAATTAAATTTTAGTTATTTGACGAGGAACTCGATTAGTTTCAAGCCATGGTAGAGGCTCATATTCGTGAGCAGCATTCCAAAATTCGCGACGTAGCGACAGTCGCGCTACTATGAGTTCCTCGTCAAATAATTACGTGAGTAAGCCGAAAAACATAATATTTAATTTAGTATGTCTCGCGAAAGTTACAATTCAATCAAGTTGTTACACTGGATCGAAATAATTAGAGAGTATTTGGGTGATATCGCTTATGATGCGGATAGTTATGACAGGGGAGGACGGCGATAATCAAATGAGATTCGCTGATGGCCGGCGCTTCAGTCTTAATTGAGTATCGAGTTGATCGACTCAGCGCAGTGTCGAGATATATTTTGATGGAACATAGTCTTTTAGACGGAGTTCGTGTCATACATTGTTGTCATTTTTGAGAGTAGCTATACAACTGCGTCAAGAATCAATACTAATATAGTAATAATAATGGTGGTAGTCTAAAAATAATTAGTATAAGCTAATCATAAGTAGTGATTTGGTAAGCTAGAATAAGATTGATATGAATGCTAATGCCAGGAGTTGACGTCCTAGAAGAATATTTATAAGTTAACTAACTGGAGGAAGAGAAAATAGTAATTGGAGAAAAATTGAAGAGAAAGGTGCAGATGTGTAACAATGCAGCAACAAAGGCTCTGGCTTTTGTAGTTATCTTCCTATTTGACGGAGCTTTGGCAGTCATAGCATAGAAATTACACCTTCGTTTACCTGCCATTGTTTATTGCCACGGACAAATTGAAATCAAAACAATTCAAACAATTTAATTAAAACTGTTCGGTCTGGCAGGGGGAGCCAGGGCGAGGGAGAGACCTCCCGCGGTCCTTGCAACCGACGGCCGATACCTTCGAAAATATTAAAAGCATTTAATTTCCTTTACGAACGCAAATACTGCACTGATTGTATGGCTACTGAAGAATCCGTGCAATATTATTCAAACAGTGATCAAACATGATTTCGTTTCTGAGCAAACATTTTTGTTAATTAACGATTTGATTCTTTATGAACATCTGCAAACATTCGAGATCAACATTGAAGAGGATCAATGTATCTTAATCTGTAACTAATCTACTGAGTTTGGTTAAAATAATCTGGAAAAGAAATAAAAATTAAACGTCTACAGCTACACACAACGATTGATGCAGTGCAACCTATAGAACTAAACATATGTAGATCGTAGCAGTAGAATCAATGAATGAAGGGCAAAAATGATGGCAGTAATATAGGTCAAGGTAGACGAAGCCGATCGTTTTTGAGGGGCTGTGAGACCGGGATAAGGGGTGAGAGAGACCCGGACCCCTCCCCATGTCTGGCAACTTACGCAGACGAGCCGACGAGCCCCTTTTGCCTAACATTCACGGCCAAGGCCAAACTCCTGTTTGTTTTCAAATAACACACAATCATTCAGCTTTGAGACTATCAATGCAGTTATATTGTTACAATGTAAATAAAATATTTTATAACTCTATCCCGTGTGTGGTTTTGTAATTTTCTTTCCCTCTATGCTAGTCGATAATAGGATAATCCTATACCCTGGTCCTATTAGTATAATATTTATTTATTTATTTAAAAAACTTTATGCACACAAACAAGTACATGGGTGGACTTAATGCCGCAGGCATTTTCTACCAGTCTGACCCTTGGGTGATGCAGAGAAAGTAATCAGCGGGATAATAAGAGTCTACGATTACCTAAAGTGGCACACCGGTTGTATTTCCAAGAGCTGGTGGCGGTGGTGCAAATTGGAAAACAATAACACAGTTTGTCATCGATCCCAGTATTTAAAATGCACTGACTATTACTTACCTTAGACATAGTAACTTTAACTCAATTTATGTATATTCAAAGTCCATAATGGTCTAGCCTTCGACCTCTATTACGACCTCGTAACAAAATAATATATGAATGTAATACATACCGGTTCTATGTCCACAAATATCTTGTGTCTGTCTTCGTCCGGCCACATCCCAACCACACTGTTTCGATATAAGTTGTCAGCGAACAGGAAGTGTGGGTACGACATCACGAGGAAAGCACCTGAAACAAATGATATAACTATTGTGAATATGACTTTAAACAGGCATAAACCCTACAGGAAGATATATATAATTTGTTGAATCATGTCTACAAATACACTAATATCATCAAAACTATTATAGACAAGTTCCTACCGATGCAAGGAGATTCTCCATAAAACATTAATAACTTACGTCGGCAAACTCTGATACTCCCTCTCGCCTAACCTAAGGCGTTGAAGTCATTGGATGATTTTCCCCCTCGAAAATAAGTGGGCAATATCCCTGTTTCTATTTATGTGACTAGATACTAAAAGTTTTACTAATGGAATAAGAAATAGCATTACGATTTTTATGATCACCATCAGTAGCTGGTAGACGTCCACTGCTAAGCAACGGCTTTCCTATTAGTCCTATACGCTAAGCACCATCTTACTTATAAAGCCTAACTGCAACTCTGACGATGTCATCGGCCTACCTAGCGAGAAGACTTTCCCAATTGACATCTTGGCAATAGTTATGTGTTCCTGTAGTAGGCTGTCAGTGGTAGCCACACGGCTACTGCAGGACTGGGAAAATCACGGTGAAGTCGGGCATGAAAAATTGGCCTGACTGCACGGTTGGTGCGGTGGCTGGGCAACCGGCTGCCGTGCAACGTGTCGCGGGTTCGATTCCCGCACGGAACAACACTTTGTGTGATCCACAAATTGTTGTTTCGGGTCTGGGTGTCATTGTGTATGTGAACTTGTATGTTTGTAAACGCACCCACGACACAGGAGAAAATCCTAGTGTGGGGCAACGTTTTTAAAAAAAAAAAAAAAAAATGCATTCGTAAATGCTCGCGGCATAATTAAACGCTGCTAGCCCGTAGGTACGATGCGATGTCACATCAGTATATAAAAATAAAATATTGATTGAAACTATTAAAAGTAAGATGATAAACAAAATAATCGTATTTCAACTTGTTTTGACGAAAAAGGATACGACATCGGGTCAAGTGAATGATGTCCTACAGTTGTATATGCGCAAAATCAAAATATATAAACATTAAATATTACTTTACTATTTTATTGCATTAAATAAATACAAATCATTTACCAACACTTCATTTGTTGAACATAATAAGACCAAGATGGCTGATGGTAATAAAACTCAATTTAATAAGTTTCTATTACTTATTTATTATCATGTTAAATGGAAATGACATAAAAATAAACCTCAAAATTATCATTTTCGTCCACTATATCTATGTTTTCGTCGGATTCACGTAAACATAACACATTTTTTTCTCTTTTGATTTGATTCAGATTAGTTTAAATTATTGGATTGTACCACGATTCCACACGTAAATAAGGCTTAAAATAAAATATAGGATGTAAAATATTTACTTAAGATTAGTAATGACATTTTTCAATTCGATCAGATTAAAACTATTTATTGTATTTATAACGATTTATGAATACCGATACGATTTAAGAATTTATTTGCAGACTATGGTATACAGGTCTCCGCAATGTTCTCAAAGTTATAGTTACCCTAACTAATACGTATTTTGACAAATTATCCGTCAGTGAGACGACCAGAAATCAGGTAGATATTATGATACATGTCTTTAATGATCACCTATCTATTATTGTGAGGTATGTCATATATCTATTCTGTATTTATGTAAATTTATAAATAATATTGAATAACCAAATACATTGCTATTGAACTTAATTTTAATCGTTTCTGTCTGCTAATAAGTTATTCAGTAAAAGCGGTTGCATGTGGCATCGACGCGTGTGGCACAGAGGCCGGTGGGCGGAGGGCGGGAGGAACTAATCGATGCATCATTGAAAAGGGCTCGTGTGCACCTTTCTACTTTTCTATGCAAATTGAAAGGTAGCCTTACCTCCACCTCCAATTATTCTATTTTTCACTACAACCTTTAAAGAGTTTTCTTGGTTTTGTTATTATCGTTGTTTCGATGCGCATTCGCTGTAAATGTCAAAAGTTAGGTGCATTTGTAGAAGACAGATTGACATTCGATTAAGAAATCGTGTGCTCAATGATGCTTTTGGAATCGTTTGACAAGCGTTAGATTGAAGCGTCAAACTGCTTCAAAAGTAGGCTGCGCGACAACGCCGTGACCGCGCACGCTGCTCATGAGGAAGAACCCCTCTGTGGTTCGAAACTAGTAGAGCTTTTCTCAGTATATTCACGTGAGTAACCCGCGATTTTTAGTTAACTCACAGTTAGCTTATAAATATCCTTCGTTTAGTTAGTTAGCATCAAAATGCTGACCTATTTATTGCGGTTGAAACCAATTTTAATGCACATAGTAACTATGTTAGATTAGTATTATAACAATCTAATATGAAATTATACAAACAGGTCCATAGAAGATTATCACAACACTTATGTTTAAACAAGTAACATAAGCCGTTTGCTCATTGACAACCATTTTAATGAGTCAATTAGAGGCCAGCAGAAGCCTATCGCATTACAAATACTTCCTACAAAACGGGTCAGACATTATCACAAATCATAAGCATTACTCATGTATAAATGGCCTGTTAATAAACTTATTTACACGGATGTGTTTACTCAAAACATATTTAAAAAAGGTACTTAAGGTGCATTAAGGCAATGTATAATTAGCATAACAACGTAATAATATATTTTATTTCTCGTAGGGCTATCTAAAGGAAGAGATGTTCATATAAATGTTTTAGACAATTTCTTTTCCACATTTTTTTGGGACTGTTATTATAAGTTTGTACTTCTCGCCCTTAAGAACCGATTTTTCCAACGACAGCGGAAGAGGAATAACTTTGAATATTCTTCCATACTTAAAACTGTCAAATGTCAATTTTATTCTAGTTTGGAATGACTAATGATCATAGATTTATAAATATAACATAGATGTCTGGCTATTGTCTACGGGTAGAATTTAGGATCCATCTTGACGGTAAATTCATAAACATACTGTTGTTTCTTTTTTACTTATGTCTCTTTGCTTATGCAGAAAGAGACAACACATTATTGTCATTCTGGCCATAATTTTTTGACGTCATCAGAAAAACCTAGTTGTGCCGAATTGGCCATCTTAGTCCCTGTTATCAGTGCATGTCAGTGGTACATCAGCTGTCAAAGCATTGGTCAACAATATTTTGTTACGAAAATTTGTAGAATTCCTGTTGTTTTTGTGCGTGGTAAACAAAGAAATTATTGGTTAGTGAGAAGAACTATGCCCGGGTGCAGTGTTATTGGATGTAGCACTAAAAATATTACTAAACCGGCAGGTGTAACATTACATCGGTAAGTACTGTTATTTTTCATTAAAATATCTCTGTTTTTCAAACTATTCAAGTGTGGTTGCTGCAAATTGACTAAATACAATACTTTTCTAACTAATGCAGTGCTTATTTTCATTAATTTTAGTTGAAATACGTCTAAAACAATTTTCATTAAAAAATAGTGATGTACATGATTGTTCCCGTATCGATAATTTTATCGTACATAATAAATGCGTCAAAAGTAGAACAAAGAACTATACTAAATTCTGAATGATAAAGTGCATTAATTTGACATAATGACAAAATACAAAAAACATTAAGTACTCGTCAAAAATTTCATTTTATCGACAAAATTCCACCATCGTCAATACCTACGTAATGTAATAAATAATTAATACAATAGAGAATAATTTTTGTACAATATGAGATAAGGAATAATATTGTGGGAAATGCATTTTTGTCAAAATTGATTTTTTTATCAAATGCCGCTCGACGGATTCAAATGAAACAAACAAATGAAATATAACTTTAGGGTATTTTTAGAGTATTTATTAGAATGTGTCGAACTCTGCCGATAATTTTAATAATATTATAAATTTTCTTTTTAGTTTGTGCTTGAACCACGCAGAAGTTCTTGGCTGGAAATAATTAATGTGGGAAATATAGATACTAGAAGGAAACATATCTTTGTTTGTTAACTTTATTTTGAAGATTAATGTTTTAACCGAACAATAAATTAATAGTAAATCTACGTGATGGGGCCCTATCGCTACAAGCTCTATTGGTAAATCATAATGTAAACGATTCATTATGTGTTTTGTTATATTAGTTTTGGAAGCATTTTTTGAAGAGGTGCAAACTTAACATTTTATTTAACATTTATATTAAGTTCATAACTAACCGGGTTCTTGTACCTATATGTTTCTGTTTTCCTCCGCTATCTATCACTATCATTGTAATGTACAAACATTTTCGTTCAGAGCTTAGTACAGTACCTATAGAATCTATAGAAAAATCTATGTTCAATTGGATCAAGTAAGTTAAATTATACTATTTATGTTGCAGCCTCTAGCCAGATATGTGCATGAAAATGAACTTGGAACCAGTTCTGGAGTCTTCTCGAAAGATGGTTTTGCAGATTACATTACAGGGAAACACTACGAAAAATACGAAGATATTGTATATTATAAATCTTGATTTTATGAATACTTTGATACAGTTTTATTTTTCAACCCTCAAAAATTACTTAACCTTAAGTATATAAATATTGACCAGTTGATGGAAAATCCTTTTCATGAATTTCGATACATAAGTATCGTGAAAGTTATGATGTGAATGTATAGGCACGATCGACTGGAGTGACAGTGCACGCAGCAACTACTAAATATATTTCGCTAATATGTTGGTAATGTTTAGCAGCTAGATAAAAATTAAATCCAGATGGATCATAAAATAATGATATTTTATTGATAAGTCAATTAAAACCAATTCTAAAATATCGATATTTCTACAGTTTTAAAAATTACATCCCTAGTTCTATCCGCCATTACAGGTGACCAAGTGAAGTTTATGTAGGCACGATTTTTTCTTATTTGTTTCTTATCCATACTCTTATCATATCAGTGCTAATGATTGAAAAATCGGCCCTTCAGTTCACTAAAACCTGAGTGTCTTTGAATCAAAATGTCATCTCATCATATCATACAATTCCACTATGAAGAAAGTTAGTTTTATTTAAATG